TGAGGAGCTACTCTACGACTTTCTAAACGTAGCGTCGCTTTTCTAAGGTTATTGTTGTTGTATTTTTGGTGTTTAGGACCTTATCAGCTGGAAAATTATGATTCTTTTGCTGTTTGCTCTCTTTTTGGCATCGTACACTGAAGGTAAGTTGAATTCTTTTTGTTTTTCTAAACTTTTAGGCTGGGAAGATGAGCTCCGAGATAAGCTTCGAAAATGAAAAGAGTGACCGAAATACAGTTCAAAACAGCCTTTTTTCCCCCTGGGATAACTTAAGAGAACGGCACCTTTCACCGCGGGAAGAAACTTACGACCAACCAATAAATGATTCGTTTTAATATACACGTGTGTTGTCCTGTAGCCTCTATGTTACAGTAAGTATCATATGGTTTAAAATAATAGGTAGATTCGTATTGCTGCTAATAGCACCAAGTACTACCAATTTAATAGTTCTTCTGGTCCTCAGAACATTCCTGATAATTCTCCAACAACTTTGGATCAGTACAACGTAATTTACCGGAAAAATATAACAGCACTCAACAACAACAACATTGCTGTCAATCTGTTGTGAAACGTTGTCTTTTTGGCTTTTCTTTGAACAAATTAAACTGATCCTTCATTTTATTTCAAAGAATTAATCGACAAGGAAGCAATGAATGTTTTTTTTTTATGTACTTCGGTGGGTCACATTGGCATACATAAGAAAATAATTACAACCTCATTAAATGTTATATAATGATCTTTGCACTTACAAACGGGGGGACTTATTTCCGGAAACACTTGTATAGATAGTCCCCGCAGCACGCAATGAATTTTGATAAGCTGCTGCAGCGTTTACGCAATTTTTTCCTAACTTCATAAAATACTAAATTGATATGATATCTGTAGAACCTTGCTAAGTGTATCTAAAAATAACAGTTCGTTTTGACGTGTCATTAAATTAATGGAAATTCTTCTAACCCCAAAACACATACGATAGTGAGTTAAGTTTGCTAAATCCATGTACAGCAATAGCCCAATAGTGTATGAGTTAGGATGGGTTTTGGATTGCATATTGGCAACCACAAAAACTATAATTTGGCGGCAAAGGGTGCCGGCTAAATTGCCTAACGAAGAATGCGCAAAAATTGAACGTCAACATTTAAGGTAAACGCACTCTAGACATTTAATCTATTGTAAAATAAGTTAATCGAATTTTATTCTGCCGGAATTTGCGATCTTTTCGAGAAGAGTATTGGTGTAGGTTACACATAATCTGCTTAATTTCTTTGCCAACCTGTTGTTAGATTAAAGTAAACAAGTGATTATTTTATCAGCTCTTACGTGCCTCAAGTTATATGACAGAAAATACCACACACCGCTTTCGGATTTTTCACATCATTATCAGACGCAGGCTATAAAAATAGGTAATGAAATACAAAATATTAAAGTGTTGAATATTTAACTTTTTCTCCAAAGAGGGATAAATGAAAAAGAAACTTTCGTTTATATATTATGCCTGATTTACAAATGCTACGAGGGCTGTCTTACACACCGCAGGCTTTTTAATTGACAATCAGTCGTTTCTGTGCCTGAAATCAACTGAGTTTTGATAACTGGCCAAAACTCTGAAGATGATTTTGAGTAGACGTATAAACGAAGCGGTCCACATCCTCCTGGAGGTATTTTTGGCTTTTCCCAAGTCATTAGTGGTAATTCCTTTAATACAATTTAGAACTGAATGTGTGTGGTTCTTTTGTGTTGGCGAAGCTATTTTTGTGATGTGGTTTAGGTATCGCCCTTTCATCTGACTGACCAAGAAACTAACGGAGACCTTCAACGAAACATCTTTCGTTACCCAAACTGCTTGTGTTTTGTTTTGAAAATCAGCTACAATAAAGAAAACTAAAACCTGATACCAAGAAAAAAGGGACTCGGGAGGTTTCCAGATCTTTTGGAGAGTCAAGCCGTTGATTCTCGCATAGAGGATTTAATGAGATACCGGGAAGTCGGTTTCACTGGCATTTAATTCTTTTTTAATGGCTGTCCAAATGGCAAAAGACATTCACCGGTAATCGTCTCATGATAGAGGAAAGAAAGTTTACCCCTCCCCAATTCCCTTGCGTTTCATGCTTGTGGCAGTGGCCGATCGCGTGTGAGACCCTATGCCTCAAGTCTCCCGGGTGCGAACCCAAGTAAAGGAGCTCTTTCACAGGTGACATTTTACGTGAACATAGGCTAAAACCTCTTTGTTCTCCTTTTCAGGGGTGTCCATCTGTCCCAGTCGTAAACTATCAGCCACAGAAGGAGAGGTGACATCCCCGAATTACCCGTCGGAATACCCCGCTAATGCAGATTGCACCCTGGCCATAGACGGTGGAAACAACGTCAAGTTGAAAATAAAGTTTGTCTCTTTTGAAGTTGAAGAGGACGAGGATGGTGAGTGTCAATAAATTTGAGGCAGTTAGGATTGCTACACATTACTTATAATTTGTTCCCATGCAAGTTTTCCCCTACAAGTTTTGTTTACCAGACCAAAACAGGGGACTCAGTGAAGGAATTTGTCAACCATTTGCAAAGAAAGCCTTTTTGCTTGAGTACGAGTTATTTCAAGCGTAAACAGACCCATTCATTTTGGTGAAATTGTATTTACACTTATCATGTTTCTACTTTTTGGTCACTGAAACCCCCCTCAGATGGGTGATTGACAGCAGTGATGCGTACTTGGCTACTAGTTATAGCTATTTATGACGTACTTGTATGTCTAGTTGATTTGCGTTGGCCTCAAAATGAAGCTTACTTTATTCCTCCTTGATTGTTCAGGGGATTTTCATTAATTTTTACGGTAGTTCAGGGACCGCGGAGCAAGGTGAAAAGTGGGAGGGCTGACAATTGAAAATAATTTTTTCATTTTGAAAATCAAAAAAAAGGAATAAAATCATAGCATTTGATTTGTTTCTGTCGCGTGAGTTTGCATACTTTATCTAGTATTTGTTGCTCTTTATAGGTCGGCATTAGTGAAGATACCGAAATTCTTCATACGATTTTCATTCCGTCCAGCAAATGTGTTTGCGATCTGAATCACGTCCAAGCTTTCCGTTAATTTCTTATGACAATTAAGTACTGTCAAGTTGCTGAATCGCTGCTGTTTCATGTTCGATCTCAGCCATGTCTTTCAGATTCAATGCAAGAAAAGACGCGATTACAATTTTAGTATAGAAAATACTACACTGAAGTGATCTGAAAAATTTCTAACTATGGCCGTTCACTGTTCAAGTCATGTAATTCTTCTTGCCATCGAATATTTCATTGATTCGAAAGGAGAAAGACAAAATATAAAACTTTTATCAACTCAAAACAA